AAATAATAATAATAATAATGGTAAATAAAATTAAATAAATAATTCTTAAAAATAAATTCAAAATGAAACAAAATAAACAAGGCCCCAGCAGGTGACGTGGTGGTTAAGGTGCATGACTCCCATATGACCAAACTAGAGGCTTGTTTTCTCACTTTCCCTTTCTTTCTCTCTCTGTCTCTCTGATCAAATTAAAGAATAAATAAAAAGTTAAATAAATTAAATAAATAATCCTTAAAAACAAAAACAAAATAACAACAAAAAAACCAGCTTGCAAAATTCCTGAGTACTTAATGAGCCAATAGGGAGCCGGCTCCAGCACAGTAAGGACTCTGAGGAGCTGTGTTCCATGACATTTTTTCTCCGGTGCTCTGAAGTGTTGTGACCTTCCTTCTGCCTTACACCCTTAGCTAGAGTCAAAACAGAGCAGAGGGGACCAGCAGATGGCGTAATGGTTACATCGCTGGACTCCCACAGTTGAGTATAATTTGCATCCTGGACCCAGTGGCTTAAAACTCACACCAGGCGCCTAAGTGCGTACATGCCCAAAATCCTGAGAGCACAATGGAGGAGAAGGGATTGTGGCATGGCCATCCCTTCTTGGGGGGTGATTTCTCGCTCTCTGTCTCTTCCCTCTGTCTTTTCAGCAAGCACACATGCCCTATAGCAAAAATCTCTCTCTCAAAAAGAACTAGAACAGAGTCTTTCTGAGACTATTCTCACGCCTTCACACCCCCATCAAAGCCGAGGTTCTCATTTTAAAAGGAATTTGGAAGGAAAAAAGAGGAATTCAAGTGGCAATTCCCATTCCCTTCTCCAGATATCTGATCCTCACAAGTTAAAACTTGATGAACTACATGTAGAAAGAAAATAGGAGCCAAATGTATTTCAACTTTCAGGAATAAGTCTACACAACATGGTACCGAGCTACATGGTAACGGCATCTCGCCAGAGGCTGAGCAGAGAGATTATGGCATCACCTTTTGACCACTGGAGCCTAGACAGCAGCAGGAGATAGGTAGCTTCATATACGCTGAGCAATGGACAGAGTTTTAAGGAAGGCTTCAAGACTTCATGTATCTTCTGAGAAGCAGACAACAGGTGCCTTACCTCCAGTATCTTGGTTCCAGATCTTCACCTTGCAATCGTATGATGAGGTAGCAATTACAGGCATCAAGCTCACGGCTCTTGGTAGAAAGACACAGGATGCAACAGTCTGGAAATGCCCCTTGTACTCACATATTCTGTTCCGCGTCTGCCTTAGATCCCACAACTGCAAAGTAACAACGTGCATCAGCTAGTACATACACTGTTGTCTGGCTTTATATATGCTTCATTAATTAAAATTCATCTCCCACCTTCCCATGAGCCAGCTCATTCCTCTACTTACCTACTCACATAGCCACCCCTTGTCTTCATCTGTCCCTCCACACCAGCCACCCATCCAGCTAGTGATTTTTTTTTTAAAGAATTATTTTATTTATTTATTTTTTAAAAAATTTAAGAGGCTTTTGCTATTGGGCACGTGTGCTTGCCAAAAAGGCAGAGAGACAGAAAGTGAAAAATCACCCCCCGGGGAGGATGGCAATATGGCAATCCCTCTCCTCCATTCTCCTCTGGGATCTTGGGTACACACGCACATGCGCCCAGCGTGAGTTTAAGCCACCAGGTCTGGGACTCGAACTACAGTCGACTACATGGGAGTCCAGCAACACAGTCATTACACCAACTGCTGGTCCCATATTTATTTAATTTTATTTATTCATTCATTTATTTTAATTTGACTAGACAGAAGGACAGGGGATAATCAGAAGGGAAGCCACCAGATCTGGGACCCAAACCATGGTAGGCCATGTGGGAGTGTCCAGCACCTTTACCGCCACGCCACCTGCTGGTCCCCGCACCTAGTGATTATTTTAAGCACCAATTATGACCCAAACAACCCTGGTTAAGGGTGTCCCAGAAGGACTGGTGCCTTTCTCTATTTTTCTCTCTCTTTTAGTTTTTGCTATAGAGAATGTGTGCTTGCAGAAAGAGACAGAAAGAGAGGAAAAAGTGAGAAATCACCCCCTGGGGAGTGGCCATGCCACAGTCACTTCTCCTCCAGTCTCATCTCTGAATTTTGGGTATGCACACACTTGGTCCCACTGTGATTTTCAAGCAGCTGGGTATCTTTGAATTTTGGGTATGCACACATTTGGTCCCACTGTGATTTTCAAGCAGCTGGGTCCAAGAGTTGAATCTCACAGCCAGTCATGTGGGATCCATTACTGTAACCTCCACGCCACCTGCTGGCTCAGGTTGGTGCCATTTTCATAGTTAGGAAAGTCATTTTCATTCTATAGCATGATGGAAGAGTATGGGCTGCCTGCTTTCAATGACAACTCAAGAACTGCCTTTGTCAGTCTCTTAGCATCTGTGGGCCCCATGGGGACTCCATACTTAGAAATGTCTTCTCATAAGTACATACAGGTGCAGACATTTTCATTTAATGCTTAGAGGTTGCAACTTAATATAGAAAGACCCACGTCTATAAGAGAAGCAACAGTCCCTTGGTCCCACTCTTATTGACACACATCAACAACAAAGGTCAGAGAGGAAAGCAAACTGTATTGTATTAAATTTTTTAAATTTTTACTTTTTTAATAAGGGGAGGGGAAGCAGTGGCATTGTGGTTAAGGTGCTAGACTCCCACAAGGCTAACTGTTCCATAGTCTGAAAGAAACTGAAGCAGGAAATGAGTCTGTAGCAAGTGTATAATATGCTACCAATGCAAAAGTCTTGGCAGTTTGAGTATTGGACCTAACAGCTTGAAAATCATGCTGGGTGCATGTGTGTGCATGCCCAAAATCCTAGGAGGAGAGTGGAGGAGAAAGAATTGCAGTGTGGCCATCCCTCCAGAGGGCGATTTCTCACTTTCCCTTTCACTGTCTCTCTGGTGAAATACTTCACTTGGAGAAGAAATGCTCTATCTAAAGCCTGTAACACTCTGATCTACCATTGATTAGGTAAGAGATTGTGTAAGAGATTTCAACTTGCCATCACTTCCCCAAAACCCAATAGTTCCTAATTCACAGGCAGGCTTGTTTTCAGGATTAAATAACACAGGGCATGTCATGTGCTCAGCCTAGTGCCAGACACATAATAAATAGCTAATAAAATGCGAGCTGTAATTGTTGTACTTAAATACTATGTCACCCTTTTAATTGATAGGCTACATTTAGGAATTTAAGGCATTTTGGAAGGGCCTAGGCCTAATCCTGAAATTAACTTCAAGGAAGGTACATGGGTAAGGGATGGGGATCCAACACTGGAGCTCCCAATTTCCTGACAGCTTGAACTTCTTTACTGTGGTCACTTGTACAATAAGAATACATTTTTACATTTTGTTCTTCCAACAGGCCCTCCCTTTCTATGCTCTACTAGGAGAAGTGACATCTACAGGTTGGTTCTGTGTTCAGCAACTCCCTATTTTGACTCTCATTCCATTCCTCTTTTCTGTTAAAAGAAGCATCTGGAATGGAAAGGATCAATGACTATATGCACTTTTTTTTTTTTTTTTTTTTAGCAAAACCAACAAAATTTATTCTGCAAAAAGCTCTTGGGTGAAGTGCCACGGTCTGAATAGAGGCCGGGAAGTCATACCCAAAGGATTGCTGCTCATCCTCTTATAGGGGCCCTTGTCCAATGAGCAGTTGCCACAGCGTTATAGGATCCTGCCCTGGCCTATGGGAGACAATATTTCTGTTCAACTGGTGGTGGGTGGCCGAAGGCCTAAAGGTTCCCACTGGCAGGATCTGCCATGTTTCTTTTCCCTTCTCCCAGACCCTACAGCGTGGTGGTTGGGGCACTGGACACGCCCACATAGCTAACTGCAGAGTTCCGGACCTGGTGACTTGTTTTCCCACTTTCTCTCGCTCTCTCTCCATTTACTTCTGTTGGTGTTAGGGCTGTCAGACATCCGAGGTCCCGACAGGTGGGTTTCTCATTCAGGTGAAGGCATCTGAAAACTCTACATGCAGACTGCCTGCCAGCCACTACTTTTCATATCATCTGAGTTTGTAGCTGCCCAAGTCCACAGCTGAACCTTCTGCAATCAAAGTATTGCAGGTTAATCTGCACGTTTTCGGAGCTCGGAAAGGCGAACCCACACGCTCAGAGGCCACAGGGGAAAGGCTATATGCACTTTTTTAAAAACTTATTTTTTTAGGGATCAGCACATGGTGTAAGGATTATGTTGCTGGACTCCCATGTAGTAGACTGTGGTTCAAGTCCTGGACCTGGTGGCTTAAACTTTATGCCAGGCATGTGTGCATGCATGTCCAAGGTCCCAAGAGGAGAGCAGAGGAGAGTAGGGACTGGGGCATGGCCATCCCCCCCTGGGGGGGAGGTGATTTCTCGCTTTCTGTCTCTTTGTCTCTCTCTGTCTCTCTGGTGAGTGCATGTGCCCTATAACAAAAATCTCTCTCTAAAAAAATAAATAATATTAAAAAAAATAATTTGCTACAGGGCATGTGCACTTGCCAGAGACAGGCAGAGAGAAGGAAAGTGAGAAAGCAGCCCCCCTCCCATTTTCTCTCCATTTTCCTTTTGGGATTTTGGGCATACATGCACACATGCCTGGTGTAAGTATGCAGTTTAAACAGGTCTGAGCCATTAGCAGAGCCTACCTGAGTACTCAGCTACCTGCATGAGACCAGAGTCAGTCATTTGGTCCCTGGCATCCACACATGTGCACCCCCACACAGTCTCTTACCGTGGCTTCACAGCCTTCCCCTCCAAAGCCATTGCTGCAAGAGATACACGTCCGTCCATCTAAGCTGACTTCACAGTACGTCTGAATGTGCTGCTTTGCGGGAAACACATGAGCTACCTGCAGCCCCCGACTGTCCCATAGCCTGAAATAAATTGAAGGAGGAAATGAGTCTACAGTGTCTAATACACTGTTAATGCAAAAGGCTTTGCTGCTTAGACTGGTCAGAATGGAATGTCACTATTTACCTAAACTGCAGCATGAACCCGATCAATCTCCCCAACTGGCAGAATGTAACCAACTGAATGGCAGCTGAGTTCTTCCTATTTTGAGATGAGTTAATAGGAACTTAGACCAAGCATTTTAATTGCACAAGTTAATTTGTTAATTTGGTCCACTGAGATACTGCTTTACATGGACAAGAAGATGGTTCTATGCCTGTGATTAAAATTTTTAAAAAGATACTTTTTTTATTATGAAACAGTAGAGCAGTCATCATTCCAGAATCAGATACAAAAGATTTGCAGACCTTGGCCAACGTTCACCATGGGTCCACTAGGGAGTGCTCTACCTCTTATCTCATTCTACCTCTGTATTTCATTCCTGCCTTCTTCTAGATAGAATCTCTTCTGAGAGCCACAGTTTTTGTGCTTCTCAGTCTAAAGCTGCTGATCTCAGTGGACTCGCCTGACACTGATGCCGACCATTTCCCAAGGGAGGCCTCCAGCTGATCTGTGAATGGGTCGTCTTGCCTTTCCACCTCCTGGTGGCTGAGTGATTGGGAACACTGGGAGCCATGTAGGGGTAGCAAGCAGAGCCAGGCAGCCTGTCGGGGTGGGTCGAGCGAGTGCCTGGGCCAGCGGTTAATCTGGAACATGTTCAGACGGCAGAAGCTGGCTGAAGCAGCTGCTTTGAAACCATCCAGAACCGGCACTTTTTCCTGGACTGACCTCTAGGCATCGGATCTCTACCTAGATGGTCCACGGGGCCAACTAGGAGAGGGCCAGTACCAATGAGGGGCCAAGAGGCAGGAGGCCCTGGGAAGGGCCCACCAACGTGGAGAAGCAGAGTGAGGCTGAAGTTACTTGAGCACAAACCTTCACCAGAAACCCCTTCCCTGCTGCTCAGTAAGCCCACCTGAGTGTTCTATCTTCCGAGGTCTGTAGTATATACTGTTCTCTGGGAACCCAGCACAGGTGAGTGACCTGGAAAAAGCAAAATGTTCAAAACTTCTCCATACTAAGTCATTGTCTGCAGTAATTCCTGTCAATTGCTAAATAGCATCTCTGCACCCCATCTCAAGGGTTTTGAAGGTACTAATAAATCTGACTTGGAGGGACTTAGTGTTTTGCAGATACTGATGAGTCACATTCTGCTTGTATCTCCAGGATACAGGTGGCAGTGGGAGCAGCTCAGTCAGGTGGGAGTACCAAGACACATGCAGACATCCTTACATTTCCTGAAACCCCAGGCCTGTGGCAGAGGATTGCTGGCCAGGTAGGCAAGGAGAGAAGTCACTGTTCTCAGGTGGGACCCATTGAAGCCCTGGTCTAACAGCTCAAAGGGTTCAGGAAGGGCGATAGCATTCTTCTTAATCCCTGCAGCCTCCTGCTGGGCAGGCATGACATGGTTTTCCCAAGCAGCCCAAGATAACAATTTTCTTTTCCTCCAGCATCTTCACAGATGTGAAGGGCAAGGGACAAGCACACCTGGCCACTGACAGCTGTCATCTTCAATGACAGAACAGGTAACAGCCGCTGACATTTGATGACTGCTAAAGGAACACCAACCATGTGTCACACACAGTGTTACCTCATTTCATCCTCCAGAAGCTTATCAGGTGATATAATTCTCCCCGTGTTATAAATGAAGACACTCGAGAGTTTTAATAATTTTCTTGGAGTAACACAACTAATAAGTGCTAGATCCATGATTTCAACTTAGGAATGACTGACCCCAGAGGCTGTTCAGTTTATATACCAGTCTGCTACCAGAAAATGAAAGGTCTTCAAAAACAGAGTAAACTGGGTCAGCTGATGGCATGATGGTTGAGGAGGCTGGATTCCACATAGCCAACTGCACAGTTTGAGTCCCAAACTTGGTGGCTTGAAAAACATGTTGGGTGTGTATGTGTACATGCCCAAAAACCCCCAAAAGAAAAATGGTGAAGGGATTGTGGCATGACAACCTCCCACGGGGCTGCTTTCTCACTTTCCCTCTTACTTTCCAGCAAGCACATGTGCCCTCTAGCAAATTAAAAAAGAAAAACACAACAGAGGAAATAAAAAATTAAACAAAAAGTAGTGCTTATTTCTCTGTGTGATGTTACATATGCAGAACACACAATGAACACCAGCTATGAGCTTCTAGAAGCCAGGAACTGTGTCCTTGGCCACTACTGTTTCTAGTACAGTGCCTGGCTCTTGGAAGAAATGGAGTAACTATATGGAAGAAATAAATAGGTATGTCATTTTTAATTCCAATATGAGCTAGTAGAATCATTCTTGGGTGCAGAAGATTCAAAAGATCATTTAGTGCAACAACCCTGAGAAGCCATGGTCTCACAGAAAGTTAGAAGGGGAGAGTATACAGGGCAATGTGCCTTGCCAAGAGACAGGCAGAGAGAAGGAAAGTGAGAAAGCAGCCCCCCTCCCATTTTCTCTCCATTTTCCTTTTGGGATTTTGGGCATACATGCACACATGCCTGGTGTAAGTATGCAGTTTACACAGGTCTGAGCCATTAGCAGAGCCTACCTGCATGAGACCAGAGTCAGTCATTTGGTCCCTGGCATCCACACATGTGCACCCCCACACAGTCTCTTACCGTGGCTTCACAGCCTTCCCCTCCAAAGCCATTGCTGCAAGAGATACACGTCCGTCCATCTAAGCTGACTTCACAGTACGTCTGAATGTGCTGCTTTGCGGGAAACACATGAGCTACCTGCAGCCCCCGACTGTCCCATAGCCTGAAATAAATTGAAGGAGGAAATGAGTCTACAGTGTCTAATACACTGTTAATGCAAAAGGCTTTGCTGCTTAGACTGGTCAGAATGGAATGTCACTATTTACCTAAACTGCAGCATGAACCCGATCAATCTCCCCAACTGGCAGAATGTAACCAACTGAATGGCAGCTGAGTTCTTCCTATTTTGAGATGAGTTAATAGGAACTTAGACCAAGCATTTTAATTGCACAAGTTAATTTGTTAATTTGGTCCACTGAGATACTGCTTTACATGGACAAGAAGATGGTTCTATGCCTGTGATTAAAATTTTTAAAAAGATACTTTTTTTATTATGAAACAGTAGAGCAGTCATCATTCTAGAATCAGATACAAAAGATTTGCAGACCTTGGCCAACGTTCACCATGGGTCCACTAGGGAGTGCTCTACCTCTTATCTCATTCTACCTCTGTATTTCATTCCTGCCTTCTTCTAGATAGAATCTCTTCTGAGAGCCACAGTTTTTGTGCTTCTCAGTCTAAAGCTGCTGATCTCAGTGGACTCGCCTGACACTGATGCCGACCATTTCCCAAGGGAGGCCTCCAGCTGATCTGTGAATGGGTCGTCTTGCCTTTCCACCTCCTGGTGCGTGGCTGATTGGGAACACTGGGAGCCATGTAGGGGTAGCAAGCAGAGCCAGGCAGCCTGTCGGGGTGGGTCGAGCGAGTGCCTGGGCCAGCGGTTAATCTGGAACATGTTCAGACGGCAGAAGCTGGCTGAAGCAGCTGCTTTGAAACCATCCAGAACCGGCACTTTTTCCTGGACTGACCTCTAGGCATCGGATCTCTACCTAGATGGTCCACGGGGCCAACTAGGAGAGGGCCAGTACCAATGAGGGGCCAAGAGGCAGGAGGCCCTGGGAAGGGCCCACCAACGTGGAGAAGCAGAGTGAGGCTGAAGTTACTTGAGCACAAACCTTCACCAGAAACCCCTTCCCTGCTGCTCAGTAAGCCCACCTGAGTGTTCTATCTTCCGAGGTCTGTAGTATATACTGTTCTCTGGGAACCCAGCACAGGTGAGTGACCTGGAAAAAGCAAAATGTTCAAAACTTCTCCATACTAAGTCATTGTCTGCAGTAATTCCTGTCAATTGCTAAATAGCATCTCTGCACCCCATCTCAAGGGTTTTGAAGGTACTAATAAATCTGACTTGGAGGGACTTAGTGTTTTGCAGATACTGATGAGTCACATTCTGCTTGTATCTCTAGGATACAGGTGGCAGTGGGAGCAGCTCAGTCAGGTGGGAGTACCAAGACACACGCAGACATCCTTACATTTCCTGAAACCCCAGGCCTGTGGCAGAGGATTGCTGGCCAGGTAGGCAAGGAGAGAAGTCACTGTTCTCAGGTGGGACCCATTGAAGCCCTGGTCTAACAGCTCAAAGGGTTCAGGAAGGGCGATAGCATTCTTCTTAATCCCTGCAGCCTCCTGCTGGGCAGGCATGACATGGTTTTCCCAAGCAGCCCAAGATAACAATTTTCTTTTCCTCCAGCATCTTCACAGATGTGAAGGGCAAGGGACAAGCACACCTGGCCACTGACAGCTGTCATCTTCAATGACAGAACAGGTAACAGCCGCTGACATTTGATGACTGCTAAAGGAACACCAACCATGTGTCACACACAGTGTTACCTCATTTCATCCTCCAGAAGCTTATCAGGTGATATAATTCTCCCCGTGTTATAAATGAAGACACTCGAGAGTTTTAATAATTTTCTTGGAGTAACACAACTAATAAGTGCTAGATCCATAATTTCAACTTAGGAATGACTGACCCCAGAGGCTGTTCAGTTTATATACCAGTCTGCTACCAGAAAATGAAAGGTCTTCAAAAACAGAGTAAACTGGGTCAGCTGATGGCATGATGGTTGAGGAGGCTGGATTCCACATAGCCAACTGCACAGTTTGAGTCCCAAACTTGGTGGCTTGAAAAACATGTTGGGTGTGTATGTGTACATGCCCAAAAACCCCCAAAAGAAAAATGGTGAAGGGATTGTGGCATGACAACCTCCCACGGGGCTGCTTTCTCACTTTCCCTCTTACTTTCCAGCAAGCACATGTGCCCTCTAGCAAATTAAAAAAGAAAAACACAACAGAGGAAATAAAAAATTAAACAAAAAGTAGTGCTTATTTCTCTGTGTGATGTTACATATGCAGAACACACAATGAACACCAGCTATGAGCTTCTAGAAGCCAGGAACTGTGTCCTTGGCCACTACTGTTTCTAGTACAGTGCCTGGCTCTTGGAAGAAATGGAGTAACTATATGGAAGAAATAAATAGGTATGTCATTTTTAATTCCAATATGAGCTAGTAGAATCATTCTTGGGTGCAGAAGATTCAAAAGATCATTTAGTGCAACAACCCTGAGAAGCCATGGTCTCACAGAAAGTTAGAAGGGGAGAGTAGTTAGGACCCAAGACTCTAAAGCCTGGTCAGGGGCCCCAGATCTCTCTCACAGGCTTCTCCCCCATCCCATAGTCCTTTCTGCTGCCCTGTTCTATACCAAGTCTGAGTTCATACCAAGTTCCTGGAGACAGATGCTCTCTCCACACACTGTCCGGTCCCCACATCCCACAGAAGCAGGGTGTTGTCCCGAGAGCCAGTGCACAGCTGTGACGAGTCTTTGAAAACAATGGTGAGAAGGTGGCCCATGAGATGGAGCTTGAACAGGGCTTTTTGGGAAGCATAAAGATGCCAGGAAGACCTGCTGTACTCTACCTGGACTCACAGCCAATCCGGTGACCACCATGGCATGGCCAGACAGCTGCTGCCTTGGTTGTGAAGAACCGTGCAAGTCCCACATCATGACCGTCCTGTCACGAGAGGCACTGAAGAACTGGTTGGATTTGGAAACACAAGCTACCTGGTCAAGGCAAAACACACACACACCAAAAAGCAGAAATAACTGTGGAGTGCTTGTTAGACTGGACTTTATAATGGAGGAAAGATGAGTCTGCAAACTGCATCCCCATGCACATTTTTTTTTTTAATGAGGCACACATACTCACAGGAGAGACAGAGAAAGGGAGAGAGGGAGAGTAACAATTATATTGAGGCGATGCCTCAACTCCTTCTCCCCCATTCTCCTCTTGGGATTTTGGGTACGTACACACACACACATACACACACACACCCCAAGCATATTTTCCAAGCTGCCGGGCCTGGGACTTGAACTGCAGACTCACTCATTTGAGATCCAGCCACCTTAACCACCAGGCCACCTGGCTGGTATGCTAAGTGTATTTATTTTGGCTCATTTAGGTAAACTTTGAAGAGGGGAGTTATTAGATCATTGGGAAATTCATGCTGTATTTTTCTATGCAAAAAATGCATCATGACTTTCCCAACATCCCAATATATGAGAGGACTTCACAAAGTTTATTGAAAAAATGGAATTAAAGTATAAATTTATTTTGGCACCAAAAAATTTTGAAATCTTTGCAGTTTTTCAATAATATACATTTTCTATAAGCTTTCTGAAGACCCCTTAGATATAATGGCAGTCTCTCTTTTTTTTTAAGGCTTTTTTGTCACTTACTGTGACTTTTTTCTTTACTGATGATAGACCATGTGCACATATATATATGTGAGTGTGTAAGAAAAAAAGAGAAAGGACACAGAGTCTGGTCACACTACTATCCCCTCCCTCCAGTCCTCCAAGCCACTGGATCCTGGGCACTCATGAGTATGCCTGGTGTGTTTCAGACTGACTGGGCTGGATATTTTTTTTCTTTTGTGACAGAGGGTACATGTATTTGTCAGAGAAAGAGAGAGAAAGACAGAGAGATGGAGAGGAGAAAGCATCCCCATGGGGAATGGTCATGCTAGAATCCCTTCCTCTCTACCTCCCCCTCCCCTCTGGATTTTGGGCATGCATACACATGTACCCAGCATGCTTTTCAAGCTGCAGGACCGGAGACTCGTAACACATGGTTGGGTGTATAGGATCTAGTTGCCTTAACCACCAGGCTATGGAGTTGGATATGGAGCTGGCCTCTGGGCCAGAGCTTTGAACCACATTGCCACAGGAACCTGGCTCTCTTGGACAGTGCATTATTGCTGCAACACGAAACCAGGCCTCTCTTGGTGGCTTACTGTACTCCATAATGCTATTTAACAAAATAATTTTCATTTTGAGAGGTTTTTGCAATAGGGCTCATGCACTTGCCAGAAAGACAGAGAGAGAGAAAATGAGAAATCACCCCTCCCCGAGGGGATGGCCACGCCGTGATCTCTTCTCCTCCATTCTCTTTCCGGGACCTTGGGCACACATGCACATGCGCCCAGCATGAATTTAAGCCACTGAGTCTGAGACTCGAACTGTGGTCTGCTACATGGGAGTCCAGCGACATAGCCATTGTGCCAACTGCTGGTTCCAACAAAATAATTTTTTTAAAGAATTATTTTATTTAACTTTATTAATTTAATTTGACCAGAGAAGGACAGAGTGAGAGTGAGAGAGAGAGAGAGAGAAAGTGAGAAAGTGAGAAAGTAAGCCACCAGGTCCAGGACTTGAACTGCGGTCGGCCATGTGGGAGTCTAGCACCCTTAACCACCACGCCACCTGCCAACTCCTAACAAAATAATTTTTATTCAACTTTTGTTGACTTTCTAAAAACTTTCCCAAGTAGCCTAGAAGGCTCTCTATTAAGGGCTTAACAACAAAGGGAAACTGTCCAGCATAATCATAATAACAGCTAAGTGCTCTGCTTCGCTGGAGCAGGCCTTCACAGCATCAAAGGAAACCCCTTTCACTTCTCCCTCAGACTGAACATTTCATCACTCTTAATATCTAGAACTATTAGATATTACCACAAAATAATAATCATTTTGCAGTTACCTTGGTGATCTCCCGTTCATGTCCTCTGAACCTTTTCACCACATTTCCAGTTTTCCAATTATAGGCCACAACCATCTGCAAAGAATTATTAGAATATTCTTTTAATTTTCATTTTACTGAATTAGCCTTTACTTTGAGTCCAGGACTCAAACTACAGTCAGTCATGTCCAATACCTCAACTACCTACTGGCCCTAATTTTTAATATTTTAGAATTTGACCAGAGGGAATCTGTACTTACCAGAGAGAGACAGAAACACAGAGAGAGGAGAGTGAGAAAGCACTCCTTGGTGGGGTATGGGCATGATGCAATCTTTTCTCCATTCTCCATGCTGTCAGAATCTTTGGCACATATAAAATATGCCCAGTGTGTCCCTCAAGCCACTGGGAGTGGGACTTGAACCATGCAGTCAGCCATATGGGATCCAGTTTCCATAACCACTAGGTCACAGGACTGCCTCACTTTTTTTAAATTTGAAAAATAAAAGCGAGGGAACCAGCAGTTAGCGTAATGGAAAGCGAAAACAAACCCAAAACAAAACAAATACCCTCCATAATCCCTTCTGCCAAAGAGAATCACTGTTAACATTGTCTCTCCTTTTTCCTAGGTGTATACAATTATAATTTATTGTAAGCAATTCTTTCTATAAACAGTCAAGTCTCTGCAGTTTATTGCTGGAGAGTAGGGGGCATATATACTATGGTAGACCAAGCCCTGTTGCACATGACCTAAAACCAATTCCTAATCTGTAAAACAGAATAATATTTGCTCGAGCTACCATTCACAGGTGTGAGTGAGGTATATCTAAATAAAATTTCATGCATCTAAGATGATATAAAGACAAAATGCTGCCAATTAAACTGTGACACAATGATTTATCACTGATTTTTAGATTCATGGTGATTTGAGAGATGTTAAAATTTGAAAATATCTGTATGTTAGAACTTGCAAAATATACCACGCAAGTGGATTTGAAGGTTTTAAGAGGTTGTTGAAAATGAGAAGCATTATAATAAGTATTACTTATAATAAAAGAATCAGCATTGGGGTTAGCAGGTGGACTGGTGGTTAAGGTGCTGGCTTACACATGACTAACTGTGGTTCGAGTCCCCATCCTGGTGGCTTGCTTTCTCACTTTCCCTCTTTCTCTCTGTTTCTTTCTCTATTGAGTGCAGTACCATATAGAAAATTTGAAAATAATAATGATAATAAAGAATAAGTAATTCTTTAAAGAAAAAATCATCATTTTTCTACTAATGTCCTAGCTGCAAGTGCTATGATAGATCCAATATGAAGGAGAGAGAACACAATTAAATTCAAAGTGACAAGGGAAATAAGGACAAAAACGTAGAAGGGTGAAGCATCGTGCATACCAGGGCAGAGATTTTGGCAAAAGAGCAGCATAAAAAAGGAGACTAGAAGGACCAGCAGTTAGTGTAATGGCTATGTCGCTGGACTACCATGTAGTCAACCGTGGTTCGAGTCCCAGACCCAGTGGCTTAAACTCACGCCGGGTGCGTGTATGTGCATGCCCAAGATCCTGAGAGGAGAATGGAGGAGAAGGGATTGCGGCATGGCCATCCCTCCTGGGGGGTGATTTCTCGCTTTCTGTCTCTCTGTCTCTCTTTGTATTTCTGGCGAGCACATGCGCCCTATAGCAAAAATCTCTCCAAAAAAAAAACAAAAAAGAGGAAAAAAAAAAGGAGACTAGAATGTTCCTTTTGCTGATAAATAACTCCTGTGCCTGTAAGCCGGTGTAAAAATGGATGGACTGGAATAATAATACCTGGCATTTATAAAAAGCATGAGGTTGGTCTGGCATAGTGCTAAGGACCTTACCTATGTCCTCTCATTTAATCCTAATGGCTGTCCTGTGAGTTTAGTGTCATTATCACCACTTGACAAGTAAGGAGACTGAAGTTCAAAAAATTTAAAGACATGCCCAAAGTAAAAGGAAGTGGCAGAGCAGAGCTTTAAGCCCAATCTAACTCTGAAGCCCAAACTTTTACATGAGTCAACCCTATTGCCAGAAAAGTAAAATGTGGACTTCTTTGAAGGTCTTTTTCCTTCCCTGCAATATGTTAGTTTCGTGGGAAACATTGCAAACCACACCTTATCTTTTCCTCCGGAGACACAAAGATCTGAGTTCAGAGCGGCAACGACAGAGACGGAATCCACGTGAGCTGGGCTATACTCTTGCAAAGCTTTAGTTTGAGTTCTCTCTTCTATAATGTCATCGGGCCTGCTAAAGAGAGGATGAAAAATGAGAGGCCCAATGGCAAGGAAGTGGATGAGGGAGCAGGGGGAAGAAGAGTGTAGGCTAAGGTAGTAATGCAGGCCAGGCAAAGGAGGAAGATGAGAAAGGAGAAGAGAAAGGAGACACCAACATTGCTAGAAGTGGTGTCATTTACTCCGAAAATACTCAGAATGACTGAATGGCTGGAACCTGGTATAGGGGAACCCTGAAACCAAGAAGCCTAGAGTGTTTCCTCACACTAGAGATTAGTCCCAAAGATGCAGGGCCCCTCCGTATGTGGGTGCAGACACTAGTTAACAAGCTGTTTATCCAGAAGAAATAGACCAAACCTTTCAGAAAGGTCATCAGCACTTGCTCTGAGCCTTCTCTTTCTGTAGTAGGAAGTTTCATGGGGCATGATAAAACTTGGGGGACCAGGGTAGAATGGTTTACCTGTACTTGTAAGTGCTCTGCTTGAGTTTGCTTTGCAGTTTTCCCATTGTGGCACAGAACCCACACAAAACCTTCCGAGGAGTTGGTTTCGGCTGGCACCTGAGTAGCAGCATCCCTTGTGGCTGCTGGAATCTGTGTTCCCTGGTTAGTAACAAGAAGAATACATATTGTTGATTTCCTTAGGCACAATAATGGTAGCATGGTTATATTAAAAAATAAATTCTTGGCCAACTCCAGTGGCACAGTAGTAACACAATGCCCTGTGATGCTGAAGCCACATGGGAAGCTCTCGGGTTCACGTCCCAAGGTCTCCTTATACGTGACAGGTGGGCACACACATGCCCATGATCATCACTGGCTGAGGTCGGGGATGAATCATGTCATGAAGACTCGATTGGGGGGTACCTCTCTCTTTCTCCCTCTTTCTGCGTGTGTCTCTCTCTGAAGAAATAAATAGGGAGTAGCAGATGGCATAATGGTTACGTCACTAGACACCTACATAGTTGACTGTGGTTAAAGTCCTGGCTTAAAACTCACACTGGGCATGTGTGCATGTGTGCCCAAAATTCGGAGAGGAGAATGGAGGAGAAGGGATTGTGGTGTGGTCATTCCCCTGGGGGGTGATTTCTCATTTTCAGTCTCTTTGTCTTTCCAATGAGCACACATGCCCTATAGCAAAAAGCTCTTTTAATTAATTAATTAATTAATTAATTAATTTATTTATTGAGAGGTTTTTGCTACAGGGCACGTGCACTTGCCAGAAAGACAGAGAGAAACAGAAAGCGAAAAATTATCCCCCAAGGGGAATGGCCATGCCACTATCCCTTCTCCATTCTCCTCTGAGGATTTTGGGTATGCATACACACGCGCCTGGCATGAGTTTAAGTCACTGGATCCAGGACTCAAACCACAGTCAACTACATGGTAGTCCAGTGACATAGCCATTATACATGCACACACACATGCCTGCTGGTCCCACAAAAATCTCTCTTAAAAAAAAAAAGACAGAAAGAAAACTACATCATTTTAAAAATCCTGTTGAAAAAACATTCATTAAAACATTAACTCATTAATTCAACATTTGCTTTTCATCCTATCCCTGCTTCAGTCTTTCAGCTCAGGAATTGCAGCCTCCAAGAAAGCATTAGCATACAGAAAAAAGGGGAAAAAATCTAATTAAAAAACAGCTAGTGGGACCAGCAGTTGGCATACTGGCTATGTCGCTGGACTCCCATGTGGTCGACCGCGGTTCATGTCCCGGACCCCATGGCTTAATCTCACACTAGGTGTGTGTGCGTGCGTGCCCAAGATCCCGAGAGGAGAATGGAGGAGAAGGGATTGTGGCATGGCCATCCCCCCTAGGAGGTGATTTCTCGCTTTCTGTTTCTCCA